AACAAATTTTTTTATCACGGAGCCTAAAAGAAAAATCCAATAGCTTGTCAGTGAAACATTTTTATGTTGAGAACGGGAGCAGATTCGTTCTCGAAACGCCCAAAGATGAGTAAAAATTCGATATTTTCTCAATATATCTATATTTCCTTCTCTTCAAACATGTTTTTAAGCAAAGTGTCACTGACAAGCTATTGAATTTTTCATTCAGGCTCCCTGATAGAAAAATTTGTTAAACGCAGTGACACTTTGGGGCAAATAACCCTCTGATTTGTCCTACTGCACATATATTGGAATAATGCTCATATTTTTATTTTATAGCAACGAGGACAGAAAATCCCGAATAATCAAGTAAAATGTTTAATAGTAACTTCAAGTGAGTCAACAATTGTCGTGAAGGTGATTCTACATATTACGACGGGAAATCGAATTTCTCGAGGAAAATTAAGTTGGAGCTCTGACGAAACTTCATGGCCTCTAAAACTTCGAATCATCATATATCGGTAACGACTCTGAAGGTAATGAAGCGGAAATTGAATTTAGAAGTTTGAAGTTTTCATTGTACTCGGTAAACAAACTTCAACAGTATGTTCCTGTTAAGTATATTAAAAAATGTATGGGAAAAGTATAAGATCATGGAGAAACGAGTATACAGGGTGTTTCATAGGTAAAGGGAAATATTTCAATGGTACATAGGGGTCACCAAGGTGGTTCTGAAAATACCATATTTGATAGGTCTTAGAGTCTTCATAACGGATATACAGGGCGATTTATCGATTTCGAATAAGTATTCATTCGTCTATAAGTATTGAACTACCTAGTATATTTTTCTAAAATTTGGTATGGAGCTCATACTTGGGACGTTTAATTCATTCACGTATCGGGTGAAGTGAAAATCCAGGTTCGGCTTCAGGAAAAATTTACATTTATTCGAAATATTGAAATAACACACTGTATGTAATAATTGACAGAGTTCATCAAAGGAATCGTGAAGAGGAAGGAAAACTGAACTGGATTTGATGCTTTTTGTTTTCCCGCCACCAATTCTCATCGTGAAAATCATAAACAGAAAGCTAAAAGTATGTCAATTTGAAGAGTATTGAAATTATGAAACCACTTTCAATTATGATTATTTGATATATTCTTGTTAAATGATCGTTCGAAAGAACTTACTCAGTCTCACAGTCTTTAGAACAGAGATACAGGGTGAATTATCGGTTTCGAATAATTATTCACTCGTCCATATAAGTATTAGACTACCCATCGCAGTAATATTTTCTCAAATTTGGTATTGAGCTTACTTGGGACGATGAATTCATTGACCTATCAGGAAGAATGGAAATACAGGTTCAGCTTCAGGAAAAGTCTCATAGTCTTTATAACAGAGAATTATAATTATTTGGTATTATTTCCATTCCGCCTGATAGGTTAATGCTCGGGTTAATGAATCCATCGTCCCAAGTAAGCTACATACCTACTAAATTTGAGAAAATGTTACTGGGTAGTTTAAGACTTATGGAGACTGTGAGACTTAGTGAGTTCTTTCGATCGATTTTTTGACTGAAATATCAAATAATCATAATTGACACTGGTTTTATAATTCCAATACTCTTCAAATTGAAATACTTTCAACTTTCTGTTTATGATTGTTACTATGAGAATTGGTGGCGGGAAAACAAAAAGCATCATACACAATTCAGTTTTTCCTCCTCTTCACAATTCTTTTGATGTACTGTGTTAATTATTGAATACAGTGTGTTATTTTAATATTTCTAATAAATGTAAATTTTTCCTGAAGCCGAACCTGGATTTTCACTCCGCCCGATAGGTGAATGAATTCAACGTCCCAAGTATAAGCTCCTTACCAAATTTGAGAAAAATATTCTGGGTAGGTCAATAGATATAGACGAATGAATAATTATTCGAAATCGATAAATCGCCCTGTATCTCCGTTATGAAGACTCTAAGACCTATCAAATATGGTATTTTCAGAACCACCTTGGTCACCCCTATCTACTATTGAAATATTTCCCTTTACCTATGAAACACCCTGTATACAGGCTGATTTTATTTTTATTTTTATTTTATTTAATGTTACACTGTTCTACAGGTTAAACCCAACTACAGAACAGGGAAATAAGTATAACTATAATAATACAGTTTTTCATATTTTGAAAAGTATATAAATATAGGCAAGACCTTAGCTGAAATAAAAAGATTTAATCGCAGAGATAGAGCAATGAAAGATATCTGGCTGATTATTTGATGAATTATTGTATAAAGAACACATGTTATGGAGAGGAGAATATTTCAAAATATTTGTTCGTGGTGTCGGAAGATAGAATGTATTGAAAACTCTAGAAGTTTGTCTAGGCACAGTGAAACTCAGCTTCTGCAAAATGTATGAGTCAGTGATAATGTTATTCATCACTTTGAAAAGGAACACTGTGGATTGACAATCACGACGGCAACTAAGGCTTTTCATAGCATGTCCAGCTAATAATGTATCATGAGGAAACCCAATTGTTGGATATACATTATCAGATCTATAAGAAAGAAGTTTTAGGAAACGACGTTGTACTGATTCAACTTTCTCTATATACAGCTGATGATACGGATTCCAAATTAAAGATGCATATTCCAGTTTCGATCTGACGAAGGCATAATATAATGTTTTTGATGTGGCTGAATCAGAAAAATCTCTAGAGATCCGCGCTATGAATCCATACATCCTGTTTGCAGCAGACAAAGTAGCTTCAATATGCGGTGTGAATGAAAGTTTTGTGTCTAATCGAACGGATGAATCATTGGCAATTTTATCATTGTGGATTCATCAACAACGTTCAAATTTACCAACTGTATTAGTATTTTCACGCTCAATGAGATAAATCAATGAGAAAAATATATGGCATCATATATTCGAGATGGAGGGAAAACCCCTAGCTGTATATCATATATACAGGGTGTTCATGAATAGAAGGTCGATTCGTGACAACCATGATGATGTTCCTTGTGAAAAAAATAATTTGACGGTTCTTGAACTATATTCAGAAAATTCCCCCTCGTCTTCGACTCGAGAAAATTTTCAAAATATTCGTGTTCTCGATCGTAATAATTTCCGGTTTTCAATTGAAGCTAGAGTGGTATTCTGTAGTAAAATTTCACAGAATTCCGACTTTAGTTACGCAAAATATTAATAAGGCAGCTGGGCAGCTGGTAGTAGTTCGAACTATCATTCTTGCATGACTAACTTTATGCCACTAAAGTTGGTGAACATATTTTTTTCAACCACTAGCTATAAAAGCTACCATCACTCACTCCTTGAAAACACTTCCAGAAATTTGTTTAGTTGCTATGGAAACGATAGACAATACAGGCTTTTGATTGGTCGAAAAAGTTAAGTGTGAAATTTTCATTTTGGGCTCCCATGTTCGATGACTCGACTTTTTAATGAGATATAGATTCAAATTCGGTATTGTGTTTCTAATTAACGAGTCAAATTTCATGAGCAATTAAAACAAGGAAACAATTTAACCTATAACTCTGAAACAAAACATTTTTGGACTCATGTTCATATGAATAACCTTTTTCCATATTTTGAGAGCGGAATGTCATTTAGGCTTTTGTCACCTTCTGAAACGAAGAGGGAATATCTCGAAATATCTTTAAAAATTAACATTCCATTTGCTCTATCGTTAACCTACAGAAATTCAATACATATAATCCTCTACCTTGAAACTTCGAGTTCGAAATAAAAATTCTCATAATTGATTTTCTTCGTTCGATCCTGATCCGAATGTTTGATATCAACATTTTAATGAACTTTTTCGCCCAATTTACCAGCTTTCATGTACATATAGTGCCTTCGTCAAATACTATACAAGGAGGCATTAATATGTTTTTCTCAATTTCAAGTCTTAACTCGGTTTTTTATGCATTACTGAATCAAGAAAACAAAGTCTAATACGGGGCAGGAAGAACTTTTTTTTTGATATTTGACACCATTTGCCTAGTTTTTCCCATCCACTGTTCGCCTGTCCGAACCGAGCAATGATGAATTTTTCTTACTTCAGTAAGACATCTTTAACTATATACTTCCGTAATTATGAGGATATTGATGATTTGACAAAGGTGATCCGCATTCAATTGCGGACCCTTCATTTTTATTAACACAATTTTTGATATGTAGATTACATTTTTGGTTTTTCATCGTGTGAAAAATTTTTCCCCAGAACAGGTGAGGATTGTTTGACTTTCATCATTTGAATGGTTGTCTGACGTAGCCTTTCGTCTTTCTTATTGTAGTACTTCCTGTGACAAACAATTTTTGCTAATGATGAAGCTTTGAAGCTTCGAAACATGTCCCAATTCCAATGATGAATAAAGTATAGTTTTGTTGGGGTTGACTGTAAAATTTTCTTCCTGTCCTATTATCTTCACTCCACTGCAAGATGGATCGACTCAGATGGTTGTAGTCTAATACAAATGTCTATTAAAGATCAATTGGGAAAAAATACATCTGTCACGGACGTAGAGGTGATATCTATAAAAAAATCAGTGCCTCCTGGTAGAATTCGATTTTTTCATCGGACAACCAACTACAGCGCTATGCCTTGAACACAACTGAAACACCCTGTACATGTTATTCCATTTTGCTTTATCATCCACGGTAGTAACTGTGCTAAGAGAGTTCCCCGACCTTTTATCACTTTTTCCATGTTGATCTCTCTTACGTCTGAAAACTTCTGAAACTTCTGAAGCCTTCTGAATATGTGATCCGAAGACTTCTGAAGATTTCCGTGGATGACCTTGAAAGATCCATTTCCGCTATTTTGAACCTTAGACTTTCTTATGGAGATTGACATGGGTAAAGTGGTCATAATGCCGGGGAACTGTCCTAGCACAGTTACGGTATTCACAAAGTATCGTGAACAACATCATCAGTTACTCTAGATTTTCATGAAAAATCAAAATTGAAGCTTGTGTACATATTTTCTTTACAGGATTTTGATCTGTGGAAAAGTTGATCTCTGCCGAAGTGTTTTTGGAGAAACGCTCAATGAAAGTCGTGATCCAGACCATGGTCAATCAGAACGATATACTTCCAGGTAAATATACTTACAGAGGGTGATTTACAGGGGTGTCTCTACCAATAATGAGGTGCAAGGGGTTTCTTCACAGTATAGATTACCTGAAATATGAGTCATCAAAGGTATATATATTGGTCATTTCACATAATACTCAGTATCATCGTTATGGATGGCAAAAACAACTTTACATATACATCAAAATTCGCCTTGATTTCCTCTATATCCATCATCTGGCTCGTGAATCTCCAAGAAATTGATGCACCACCAAAAAGTGGCCAAAAATTTTGACAACATTTTCCTCATAACTACTTGTCTGATATCATGAAAAAAACAAGCGATAATTGCTTCACCCGGAATTTATGACAAAGAGGTTCTTATGCGAATACATAGTTTACACGCAAATATTCAGATAGAACCTATCATTTTAAACAAAAATCATCCAAATCGGATAAAGTATAGCTTCGACGAAAATGTATCAAAATTTTTTGGATGCGTAGTTTTGACTCTAGAGAATCTCTTCAGAGCGTGAAACTCTCATGGATTATTATGAAGGAATATGGAAACTATTACTTCCCAAAACTACTCATAAAGTTTCGCAACTGAATACATTATTATGGTAACGCTTACCTCCCCAAGAGAGCGTCACTGTAGCAATTACTTTATACAGGGTATTTCACGACGAGCTTACACTATCTCTATATCGAGAAATCCATGAAAATATTGTTTATTGTTTTTTCAAAAACTAGCTTCCAGTCAGAAATAAAATTCTGGTATGAGGAAGTTGATTACAAACAACAATAATAAAATAATATAAGGTGACAACAACAACAACAACAAAAAAATCTAAAAATGCTAAATCGATCAAGTCATAAAAATAGCCACAGGGACTAATCAGTAGATGGCAAAGTATGAATTTTATCTATTTCGTAATGAAATCATGTGTTTTTTTAATTCAACTTTAAATTTTGAAATATGTCTGCAATTTTTTATATTATGTGGTAATTTATTAAATTCAGCTAGAGCAGCGTGAGTAAATTTTTTTTTGCCAATTATAGAAGTAGCAGAATCAAGATGAAATAAATTTGATTGTCTCGTGTGATGACCATGAATTTCTGAGTTTCTTATCAAAATAAAATTGGATTTCAGATTATTGTTTATTATATTATATGAAACTTTAAGAGAATATATTTTATATAATTCATCCAATGAAAGTTTTTCTGTTATGGCATACAGATCATTTGTTGGGATATCAAATGAGAGGCGATACAATACTTTCAGTGCTTTCTTATAAAGTGCAGATATTTTACTGAAATAATTTTTTGAACAAGATCCCCAAACGTTTATCATATAGGTAATACGACTGAATGCTATATTTCAGAATGAGAGCTCTCTTCATTCAAAATAATTTCAGCAATGCAGTGTTGCTGCTTCTATCAAAAAGTAGCAACTACTTTGTTATTTCAAATAGAAAACCCTGGATTTCATTGCATTTTTAGATACCTACGTGATCAGAATTCTGAATCTTGAACCACCCTGTATTTGTTCCGATCAAATACCAGTAGATAGTGAATCAAAAGTTAAGATAGGGACATGTGAGCCGTTTTGACCGATAATGAATAGTTTCGACACAAAAAAATCCGAAAGTTGAAAAATCTCGATTTTGAACACCCTATATTTCTGTAATCATTTTCGATAGACCCCAAGTAAGATGTATCGATGAAATCAGCTCTTCAGGGAGAATCTAAAAATTCGATAAAATAAGGGGTGTTGCATTTGAAATATCAATGTTGCTACTATACTTTCAAGTAGAACGGAACACGGCATTGTCGAAAATATATTTTGTAATGAAGAGAGCGTATTCTAAAATAAAATCATGCACATTTTCATGGATTTCTCCCGACTGATTCTCTATATACTTTGATTTTTAGAAAAAATCCGAATATACTGAAACCATATTTTCATTGAAAAAAGTTGTATTTTGTGGACGCAACTTGAATATCAAGTTAATATCATCACATTTACATCACATCAAATTGTTGGATATGTTTCTCTTGTTTATTATTCGTATGTGAACTTCATGGTGGAAATAATGAAGAGAGGAAATAGTATTTTCATGAAGTGCGAAAAAAAAACAGAAAGTCAGTAGGAAAATGTACTACATCTTTACGTGATTTCGATGTTGACGAGACGTATAATCCCAGTTAACACAAATTGATCCCAGAGATATGAGGGCATTACATTCATTCCACACATCACATCCGTGACTCGAAATTTGAGTCTCACTGAAATCACAATGGACTGCTTTTCCGAACCCTTTTGGTCATTTTATGATTCACATTTTGATGCCAAATGAAACTTACAGTACGTAATAAGCGACTCCTCATTAAACATCAAAATTGATTAATTCCGTTTGTTACATAAAAAGACAAGAATGTGATGTTCCAGTGATTCTCTTTGGTTGTGAGGAAGCCTCACAAATTCACCTAAATAAGTCTCAAATCTTATGGAATGTTATCGATATTGCGAATGTTCTGTGAAATAATGAGTCTTCTAGCAATACCAATGATGTTTTCTTGTAATTCGCATTGTTATAGGTACCTAGCGAGATATGAATGTGACATCACATGAAAAATCATTACCAGGTCACATACAAGTGTACATTTCATATTACAAATACATCACACTGCGACATCGATGATGTGGTCGCCGTACCTGTGATATTCGTGGGATATATAATAATAATAATAATTATTCAGCTTTACGAAGAAAATGTTTATTTTCCGAAAGTAAAAACAGATGATACAAAACTTATCATGACAATCGCCCTAATTAGTAATCTTGAAGTAAAACATGACACATATATACAGCAATACAAATATACATTATTCATAAATGATACATATCAAATACACTTACATTATCTTGGGATCTTTCATCCACCTTCTTTTAGATTGCAATATTCCTATCTCAGAGATAATTACAATATAACCTATTGTGATTGAACTCACCGTCGTTCCTTAATGATTGTATACCTCCAATTTGAAGCTGCTATAATATGTGCTATAAAATCATCTCAGATATTTCAACAGAGAATTTGGAAGGAAATAGTCTGTACGGAGTGGGACTCACTCACTGACTGACTGACTGACATGACATGGCCATGCACAGCTCAACATGGCGTCTGGCGTGTGCGTTCGTTTTGCGCATGCCTGCGTTCGTTTTGCGCATGTCTGCGTCACACTCACAGGTCACAAAGATATCTCATGAGTATATCAATGTGAATTATTTAGTTAACGTCGAAGAGATGTAGTTTGAAGAAGTTGATATCGAATCTACGTCGATAAGATGTGTTAACGAGATATTACATGTATGCAAGGCTGTTACATCACACAGTTGTTGATGTCACACGATGGTTGGCTGGGCATTACGTATTCGAGACTATAATAAATGCTAGTTGGGCCTCGTGGTGCCTTTGCGGACTAATTTCCAATTGAATTTTCAGATTCTTCCTGAAACATTCCTTCCTCGAGCAAGCGTTCGACATGCTCATCGAGCAAGGATTCAAAATGGCGGGCAGCTGCGGATCAGGAACAGCAGGTGGCGCCAATGCCGATCTCAAGCCAGGAGTGGATGCTGAGGAGAACCGTTGGAACCATTACAACGAGTTCGTTTTCCTGAGAGAATGAAGGAAAACTTCCAGGAGTTCAGACATTTTCGGTAGATAGGATCGTTTCCACACGTTAGCTGAGTTTAAACTGATATGTCGACAGTTGACGAGAGAAACAAGCACAAATGGAATAGTATTTTTCGACGAGTTAATGTGAAGTTTCCCATGAGAATGAAGCTAAAGCTCGGGTGAAAATAATATCTCCTTATGTTTCTTTTCCTACCTAGGTACCTTTGGAAGATAATTGCTTGGAAGGAAAACGTGATAACTGTTGATAGTTGATCTAACATCTCAATGATCACTCCAATTCGAATACTATTTTCATCACATGGAAACTGGAACTAGAATTTATGATATCAATTTGTTGATGTTGATCGATATTCGTTAGGAGGACATAGATGGAGTAGCCCTATATCACCTGAATAAGTCAAACATTTCATCAGTAGATTTGTAGAAAATTCAAGTCATCAAATTTCCCTAATAATTTTTTTCTCAACTCTTGATTGATATCGATAACTCAACCGTTTTCTGATTTATTTCATTAGATGAACATGAGTGCCTTCACCAAAATTTTAAATGGCAGTTCAAATCAAACCTATTTACTTCTTGTACTATCTCTTGAGTTAATCGAGGCGGCGCTAAAAATTTACCGATTTAGAAACCTAAGAAAAATATTCATTCGGCAGTCAGTAATCTTTGAGAAAATATAATCTGAATTATTCAATGCTGTCCTATAAAAGAGACGTGAACGGTTAGGTTTTTCCATATCGAACAATTTTTCGTTCTGGTTAGAAAAGTTCGATATTTTCAGAAAACTACCATCAAAAAATTGATTCTCATTTTCAAGGACGAATATCCCCGAAAGTTGTCAATTTAGGAAATACTTTTAATTGAACTGCTTTCAGTATTATTTTCACCAGTACTACTCATTTCTGTGTTAACTCATGGGATACTCGAATACCAATCAATCAGATATAGTATCATGACCGAGTTGACAACTATACTTTTTCTACGACTATCACAGTGAAAAGTGAAAGTTCCATCTCAACGTGCAGACAAAAAATGTGTCATTATGTTTACTAATTTATTCTTAAGTTGATATCGGACAAATTATAGTACCTGAATTACTCAAATTCATCATTCGTGAGTGTATGTGTAGTTATATCGGAGTATATTTGGTCACTGTGTATTATTGTTGTCATCATACAAAACGATTCTTTAAATTTTTCTACCGTTTTATCATAGGAGCAAATTTCACAAACTGTAAGTGAGTAATAATGATTTTCGTACGATTTCCTTTATGAGAGAGATAAAATGCAATGGATTCGCTAGTCAACATATCCATATTACATGTCTTCTAACGGAACTTCAAACACAGCTGAAAACTCATCGCTTGCTCGTAATATCCTTGTTTTCCTCCGGGATATAATATGATGTCTCCGTGAAAATTGAACCGGTTTGAATTGGAGGGTTTTTGAAGTTTTATGTGGAATTGAGGTTGGAGAGAAGCCAAACAGTGAACTGTGGACAAGGAATAAGAATGGGAACTTTTCCAGATTTGAATTAGATTATTGAAGATCTTTTCGGGTCAAGTTGAATGATTTTCATATTTCAATAGAAGTGCAACAATAGTTATTGCTTTTGGGTGTATGATAAATTGACATTCATCACACAGGGCGTGGAAAGAAATTCTTAATTGAGACTCTATCACGAATGTTCATCAGATATAATTCAATGTTCGACGTGGCAAATAGCCAGGAAAGTAGTTGTTTTCTGTTGAATATTCAGAATGATGTGTGCATATACATATTTTTGTCTGAAGGAGAATGCAAATTCTCAATTTCAGAAGATTTTATATTTTATTTTCAAACACTAATCGTGTGTGTTCGATAGATATTATTCAATTTTTGACGTGGCATATAGCCAGGAAAGTAGTTGTTTTCTATTGAATTCACTGAAAAAGAGTTGATATTCTCATCACATAGAGAATGCGAATTCTCAATGTATTGCTTTATATGAATATATACCGGGTGTCCCATTTTAATCTTTATTTGGAAATTTCTCGAAATGTATGCATCTGACAAAAAAATTTGCCGAACAAAAGTTGTATGGTTTGGAGAGGGACGTCTGGTTATGAAACATGTTTCACCCCCTGACCCCCAGGGGAGTGGGAAATGGAGGTAACATTGAAATCTTCAATGGAAACCCCTATTTTTTATTGCAGATTCTGGAAGAGCATTAAAAACTATGAAGCTTTCATTCGGGAACTTATTTTTTATTTTCACAAGATGGCGCTGCGGTCGTAAAAAACAATATTTTACTATTTACACTTTCAACCCCCTGAAGACGAGGAAGAGTGTAGGGTGTGATATTTTCCCAGACAAACGCCATAGGGGTGATATTCACAAGATAAATTAACGCTAAACGAACATACTTTTACCTTGACACCTCTACATAGAACGACGTCGATATTCGCGCTCAGCCTCTTGGTAAATACCATCCGCACGTTCGACACACATAATTATATTTTTTCTACAAACGTCAAAAAATGACACGATTAGACAACAAATTGCGAAGTGACACTTTTTTTCAGTTTCCTACGTTACAATGATGCCTTGCACAAAACAATGCGCGAAGTAAAACAGTGCGCGAAGGACCTACTTCGCGCACTGTTATGTAAAATATATGAGATATTTATATTTCAACTTGATGGTCCACAATCGAGCAAACATCCACGAAATCATTTATTACTGAATGTTCAATAAATAACTTCGTTTTATCTCTTGGAGCGCACGAAAGGAAATTACTATTATGTTCGTGGAACTTCGTGCGTACCTAGGCAGGATCGAAGGAGGTCATTAAAGCCTGTTCAACACTATTTTTTATATCAAGCTGAGCATATTTTCACTTTAGAACAATATTTTTTGAGGTTTGTAGAAAAAATGTTGTTTGCAACTCGAGCGCGAAATACTTTGGTCATCTCGACTATTTTTTTAACGAGGCTACGCCTCGTTAAAAAAATCAGATCTCGATCACCAAAGTAGCATTTCGCGCTCTAGATACAAAAATAACTATACAACCTCGTTCAGTAAATAATGAGACATCGCGAGACAGTGACAGATTTAAATTGTTTTTACATGGTGTTGCCATACAATGAAAATTATCACTCACCGTGTGAATTTGCAATGAAAATATTACCCCAACGGCGTTTGTCTGGGAATTTCACACCCTACACTCTTCCTCGTCTTCAGGGTGTTGAAATGTGTTGATTCGAACTGCTTGATATCTTTTTAATGAAAAAAGTCACCCAACTACAAACTAAATAGTAAAATATCGTTTTTCAAGATTGCAGCGCCATCTTGTTGAAATAAAAAAGAAGTTCCCGAATGAAAGGTTCATAGTTTTTAATGCTCTTCCAGAATCTGCAATAAAAAATAGGGGTTTCCATTAAAGATTTCAATGTTACCTCCATTTCCCACTCCCCTGGGGATCAGGGGGTGAAACTTGTTTTATAACCAGACGTCCCCCTCGAAACCATACAACTTTTATTCGGCAATTTTTTTTGTCAGATGCATACATTTCGAGAAAAATCCAAATAAAGATTAAAATGGGACACCCGGTATATCCATTTTTGTATGTTCATAATTTATCTGAGAATATTCCTTTTCAACAATAGTGATTTTTCTATAATACAAGATTGCTCTTGTTTTACTGTGTTCGATACATCAATGAGGTACTTTACTGTATGTCATCAATTTTATTTCCGTATCTGATATCACAATGACTCCATTGTGTTATTATTTCCAAAAAAAAACTCATCGCTCATGGAATGTCAAATTTCAAGCAATGACAGCTCTGTCTAATAGATCAGCATTATTTTACAGGAAATCAGTAGTTATAAAAAAAATAAGAAATGAAAATTTCAACCTAAAATTGTCCATATTGACAAATGATATTGACATGAATACATATTTTGGGTTTGTAAAGACAATATACAGGTTGAAAGTCGATTAATGGCTGAAAATATAGGATATCTCATTTTAGGAATAAAAGTTCATATAAACATATTCCCTGAACCTCTTAACATTCGAAATATGGAGTGTTAACATTTTATTTTCTCTTTATTGATTAAAGAAACTTTCACAATGTAAAAAACTGTCACGTTTATGAATACTTGTCAAAATAAGACTGCAACGTAATCGATCAAATGTCATTATTTCAAATAAAAAATAGGGCATTAGCCTACTAGTTCAAAATGATTTCGTGCCACAAATGCATGAAAATTGTTTTTATTTTTTTACGCGAAAACGGTTTGTCGAGCAGAAAAAAATTAAGAGAAGAAATTGTTGCAAAAATAAATCAGAATTTCGAAACTGATTTGTATTCTATGAAATATCAGGCGTACAATATTTTTTTCAAAAAATCTCCAGGTTACATTCCATACGTACGCCACTGGTAGAGATATTAAAACATCTTTTGCATCGAAAAATGCCTATTGGTGCTTAGTAAATGCATGACAAATTTCATGAAAATATCTAGAACGGTATTGAGGTTATGATAGGAAAACGATTTTTTTCTTAAAATTTCAACACCCTATGAGTTGAAAGTCAAGATGTTTAGGGCATATGTTCATATGAACTTTCCATTTCAAAATGAGCTAAGGAACCATATTCTTCATTAAATAACACCCTGTATAAAGGTTCAATAATTGAAAATTTCAATATTTTACTTTCCTTCACCAGATTTGGAAACTCTAAAATGGATGAAATAAGCACAATATTCGCTAAACTTCCTAATTCTGGAACGATAAAATTTCAGAATTGATTAAAGATTGACTTATTCGAAATAACTTTTAAAATAACATTGGTTGTAAGTAAATCTTCAAAAAAAAAACAAAAATAAGTTTCTGAATTTGACTGAATATTCTTCCATGAAATGTTTGGATTATCCAGAAGTGGAGTCAAAAGTTCATGGCGAAAAAACGAGCCTTGTAAATTATGTATTCGATTTCTTTGTGTT